AGCGATTCCAAAGATAGGCTGTCGGGGGGCAGTCCGTGAACAAATGCAGAAGCGTCTCCGTATGAGTAGGGCATCTAAAGCAGGAGGAGTCTTGAGTCAGGTGCCGTTTAGCTTCTCCTCATTAGAACTGATCTTCCCCTGCGCCACCAACCAGACGAAACATTGAACACGCTCTAGCACTGGGAGGCGCCAAATTCTCTTCCAAAACTGTTGGTTCCTGTCATTGATAGGGTCTTGGAGCAACTGGTAGGCACTCTTGGTAGAAAATCTACCATTAGGCGTCGGCTGCTACAGGAGCGTGTCATCCTCGGTCGAGAGAGGGTCTACAGCCCGCGTAGTGATTTGTCGAACTATGTCCATGGGGAGAATGTGGTCGAACCTCTCCGTCTTCCAATTCCCGTCCTCGTCCACAAAATCCTCCACCAGAAGGTCTTGATCCGCCTCTGGTATTTGCTCCGTCACCAATTCTTAGAGAGGTACCTGCGATAACCATATGTCAGACCAGAATTTAGTTTGGTTACCCCTATGAATATCCCAGGCACATCCCTTTCTAAGAAGGTTCCCCGCCTTTGCTGAACTAGACCAGGTAAAGGAACTTCCCTGAACAGGCCTCAGTAGATTGAGATGAGTTTGGTCCTTCCCATACTTCGAGCGAACTAGCTGAGTCCAAAGGGTCTCCTTCTCTTTGATGACGCGCCACCCACCCTTAGCCAACATAGCCACATTCACTTCTCTAGTCGACCTGATCCCCAGACCCCCATTACGTTTTGGTAACAGCAAACGTTCCCAGGGTACTAGGTGGAGCTTCTTCTTCTCCTCGGTATCCCCCCAGATGAAGCTCCTATTGATCCGATCCAGAGACATGCAAACATTCATAGGGAGCATTTCTATTTGCATAGAGTAAATCGGGATATAGGCCGAAATGGACTTAACCACAGTGATCCGGGCGGCGAGAGAGAGAGATGTTTGGTCTTCCAGGGGGCTAGTTTCCGTTGGATCCGCAGCATGAGGTCCTGGTATCTGGTTTTAGTGACTCGACCATGAATTGCCATCACTCTATGGTAGCGTCCCAGATCCACAGTGAGAGGGATGCCTGCACGCTGTGAAAATCTTCTCGCTTTCCGCCTGTCAATGTTTGCCGGGACAAAAATTGATGATTTCTCATAGTTAACTCGCTGCCCGGAGCTATGGCAAAACTCATCCGGACATCTTTTGATTATCCGCACCTGAGCCCCATCTGCTTCTGCAAAAAGAATAAGATCATCTGCAAAAAACAGGTGAGAAAACAAAGGCCCCCCTCTAGAAAGACTCAAAGGTTTCCAAAGTTTTTCCTGAACAGCTTGATCAATCCTGTGAGAGAGCCTTTCCATGCACAAAACGAAAAGATAAGGGGAAAGGGAGTCTCCCTGGCAGACTCCCCTGGTAGGGGTGATCGGATCCGAGAGTTCCCCATTCCAAAGCAGTCGCATTTTGTTACTCTCCACACAGAACATGATACAATTGATCCATGAACTAGGCAGCCCCACTTCCTTCAGAGTATCCCGGAGAAAATCCCATCTAAGTGTATCATAGGCTTTCTCGAGGTCAATCTTAAGCACAATGCCTCCTCTCTTGCCTTTCTTCTTCCTAAGAGAGTGAAGGACCTCCTGCAACACAATAATATTATCAGTGGTTTGTCTTCCCGGGATAAAACTGCTCTGTCGGGGCGAAACAATCTGCCTCATGATCGGCTTCAGGCGGTTGGTGATAGCCTTCGTGATTGCTCTTAAGCACACGTTGTTAAGAGAGATAGGTCGAAGCTGAGAAACCCTTTCAGGATGATCCACTTTGGGAATGAGCACCACCGTCGATTTTACTACCTTCTCCGGCAGAATTCCTGTAGAGAAAAAACTAACAGCCATATCAATAAGAGCCTTCCCGACGGTTTGCCAAGATTTTTGGTAGAAGATGGCCTGAAAGCCATCAGGTCCCGGTGCCTGGAAAGGCTTCATATCCTGCACTGCTCCATGAATGTCCTCCCCTGTAAAAGGTTGAAGTAAGAAGATGAGATCCTCATGGTCAATCCTCGGGAAAGCTTTCTTAGGCATTTCATCGGTGTACTCCTGGCTATCCTGCAAATACAGAGAAGAGAAGAAATCAAAAACCAAACTCGCAAGCTCATGAGGATCAGATATACACTCTCCATTGTTGTCTTTGAGGCTCTCAATCTTATTCCTGCGTCGGCGAATATTGGCCTGCTGGTCGAAATACGCCGTGTTTCGCTCTCCAAACTGGACCCATTTCCCCCTGGCTCGCTGAAACCAGAGAATCTCTTCTTGTTCCAAGACTTTATCAAGCTCCTCTTCAAGTTTAGTTTGAAGCTTGAAGAGATCTGGCGAGAAATTATGAGCCACCTTAGCTTGGATCCCTTGAATACGGCTCATCAATCTCCTCTTTCTGCGAGAAATGTTCCCAAAAGTTGATTGGTTCCATTGAGACAGTTTGCTGGCCATGTCTTGGAGAGCTTCCTGTAGGGGTGCCTGAGAGTCTCAATTACTAGATAGGAAAGTATCATAAGAATCATGAGTTAACCAAGCTCCTTCAAATTTAAAGGGTCAAGAATAGGAAGAAGGGTGAACTCCCTGGTTTCCAAGAGACGTCAGGATCGGGTGGTGGTTAGAATGAAGCTGGGGGAGGTGGGTGACAGTTGAACTGGAGAAAATTGAGTTCCAGGTTGCATTGCAGAGGCTCCGATCGATCTGACTCGCCTTATAGCAGCAGGGAGTGTCCCCCCTGGTCCAGGTGAAACGAAAGCCGGAAAAACCCAAATCAATGAGCTCGGCCTGGCTAATCCTGTCGCTGAATCGTTTACAGCGTCGATAGATGGAAGGAGTGGCCGGCCATGCCTGTTCTGCTGGGTCCTTGATAGCGTTGAAATCTCCCGTTAAGAGCCAGGGGAGCTCGATCTCTTCGCGGAGCCGAAAGATAGACTGCCATAGATGATGTTGGAAGCTTTGTCTAGGACTTGCATAGATGGTCGTCAAGCACCAAGGCTGCACTGAGGGCGGCGAAATCTTCACGGTGAGGTGCTGAAAACAGGCCGAAAGCACTTCTACCTTGAAACACTAAGCATTCCAGCATAGCCAAATTCCCCCTTTCCTTCCATCAGCTTCGACCCTCAATACATTTGGGAAACCCAGCTTTCCACAGATACGATCAGCCACCTCCCCACTAATTTGAGGCTCCAACAAGATCAAGAAATCAGGTTTGTGATGGTGCACAATCAACTTCAGAGCTCGGGAGAAAGCAGCATTGCCAGCCCCTCCTACATTCCAAGACAAAATTTTGGTATTTAAATTGTATAAAGCAGACATAGGATAATTAAAAAGAAAGGGGAGAGGAGAAGGTAAAGAGGGGAAGACGAAAAAGAGCAATCGAAAGGGAAGAGCGGTCATCAAGCTGGGGCTGCAGTCTCCAAAGACGGGGTCGTCTTCGCGCTACTCTCCACTTCCAGAGCTTGGGGTGAGCTTGTCTCTGTTGAAGCCGCATTTGCCGCTCCAGTCCACGCCTCTATCTCTTGCAGGGTGAGAGAGGCCAAACGAGTTCTAGCCTTGTTCTTCTACTCCTTAATCGGCGTCAAGACTTGCAGTGCTTTGGTCGTGATCGGCACCGAAGTCTTCCTAGGGGATTTCGATTTTCTTTTTCTTGTGACCTTTCTGATTTTTGGTCCGAACCGCCGCCGACAGAGAGTCTTTCTCCCGCTCCGCTGCTTGCTGTGTCTCATATGGCGAGACTGCCACTATCTGGATGGAGGTATTGTTGGGTCCCTTGACGGTCTAAGGAGGCGGTGGGCTGGAAACAGACAGCCCAGACCCTTTTTGCGGGCCTAAACCTTCAGTAGTCAGAAGAGGCCCATACTCTTTGTCTAGGATTATTGAGCCTACCTCCCGCTGCTTCTTAGTATCCAAGACAGCCTTTTGGGCCTCGAGACCACATTCCTTTGTCCAGATGGGATTGGGCCCAAAACTCCTTTGCCGCCTGTCGCCACTCCAACAGCGCCTTTCCCTGCATTTTCTTTCCCTTTTTGTAGACCCTCATCATTGGATTTTCCTTTCTCCAGCCTACCTTGCTTGAGATTTTCCGTCCGTTGGCCTGGAGTATCTCTATTCCCCCTTGCTTTTAGAGACACCTTCCACATTTTTGTGATTAGACTTTCCTTTCTCAGAATTTCCACCAACCACCAAATCTCCTTGATTGATGTCTAAATTTCCTTTCTCATGCACCTGTGTTCCCCGCCGTGATGGTCGTGTGACCTGCATCCAAGGATCAAAGCCAGCTATATCCTCCGGCGACTCCTCCGAGCACTTTTCCGGCGAGGTCGCAGCCGTGCCGACTCCGATCGAAAGTGTCGGCTCACACAGCGAAGGACAGGGGGTTGTCTTGTGTCCAAACTTTCCGCATTCAAAACACACCTTTGGCAAATTCTCATACTCTATCTACTGCCATTTTCCGTCAAGACGAATTACCAGAGGTTTAGATAGGTCGAGTTCGACCGCCATCCGTGCAAATTTGACGCGTTGTTGATGTTGTGTGTGAAAGTCCAGCTTGATCGCCGGCCCTATCATGTTCCCCAAAGAGAAAAGGATCTCTTGATGATAAAAATGAATCGGGAAGGCTGGTAACCGTATCCAGACCACCATCGTTTTCGGCAGTTCATCGGACAGGTGAAAAGACTTTGTCCATTGGAAGACTATACAGTAATGATCGAAAATGGTCCAGGGTCCCTCAGTTAAAGCTCGAAAGTAGTCTGCATCGTTGTCGAGTTTTACCAGGAAGCACTCTTGTCCCAGTGCCATGATTTTATTGCATAACGTAAGGAAGGAGATGCTCAAGCCCATTGTACGCACCACAAGAGTACGCTTCCATTGTGTGCACAGCTTTTCCTTGAAAGCATTAGAAACTTTCAACTCTGGCTCTCCATTGAACGTCCCTAGGATCAAGTCATGTTCCCCCACTGGCGTCTAAGAGCTTTTTGGCTTGTTGTTCTCCAGAGTTTGTCCTGTAACGATCTTCGCATAGGAAATAGCCTGAACAGCAAGAGGAAGAGGTGTGGAGACCCCCTGTGGCAATAGCTGCGGCTGGGAGTCTATCATCATGGCTGTCTCGTCCATACGTGCGGTTGGAGTCGCTGCTTCTGCGACAACTCCTTTCGCAAGCGTGGCCTGAGATTCGTCCGGGGGCCTCCCCGAAGGGTTGAGGTTGGCCGCCGGTGGTTCCTCCGAAGGATTCATATCAGAGCGATTTCAGAGCAAAACCTTTTTTCCGGGTGAAGGGGCTAGTTAATTCACTCTTTTTTTGCTTCTTTTAGTATGGTCCCATGGATAATTTTTGTGGCCCAAATCATATGCATGGATAATTACATGCAGGGCCTGTAATTTAGCCAAATTAATTATAATAACTACTTCGACTATTATATTTGATGGAGGCCCTGATTGGTTAGAAAACTAAACAGGGTAAAACCTATTGAAAAGCATAATCTACACCTCCAAACAATTGATTTCCATATACACAAAGTCAAGTAAACCATCAATTTAGACTCCACACATTAATAGAATTCATCAATCTAATGGGTTAATTGCAAGAATGGTCACTGGGTTTACTAAAACTGTTCATGTTTGGTCACTGCAAATATTTGATTCCATTCATGGTCACTAAGATAGTTCAATAGTTCAAGTTTGGTCACTCTCCGTTAGTCTCCGTTAGTTTTTGCTTATGTGGCAGTCAACTATTATAGTTGACCGTTAAATGAGTGACGTGGCCATTAAAATAATAAGAAAATTTAAATATTTACAATTTACACCTCATTTTACAACTATTAAAAATATAAAAATAAAACATACCACCGCCGCCGCTGCGCTCATGACCAAATCCCTCGCCGCCGCTGCGCTCTCCGACCGGGTCAAGTTTGTCGACCTCCCACCCAACGACGCCGCCGTCGACCCCACCGTCAAAGACGTCGTCAAATTCTTCATGGACTCATACAAATCCCATGCCCGCGACGCCATCGCCAAGCTCGTCCAGGCCTCCCCTCTCGTCTACGGGCTCTCGTGGACATGTTCTGCACCACATTCATCGACGTCGCCGACGAATTCGGCCTCTCGAGCTACATCTTCTACACCTCTGGCGCCGGATGTCTCAATCTTACCCTCCATCTCCAGAATCTCCGGGACAACCACAACACTCCCATCACCAATTTCAACAACCCAGAAGCCAATTGGTCAATCGAAGGCTTCAATAACTCGATTTCGGACAAAGTCCTCCCTCGTCCTATTCTCAACCCATTCCTCTGCGACGGATTTTTTGATTTCGTCAAATGATACCGAGACGCAAAGGGAATTTTAATCAACACGTTTCCAGATCTGGAAACCACCACAATCGAGCACCTATCGAAGGACGAAACCCCTCCGGTCTACCCGGTCGGACCAATTTTAGAGCTGAAGCGGGAAGACGCTACCGGAGAAGGAAGAGGCAGCGAGATCTTGACCTGGCTCAACGAACAACCGCCTTCGTCTGTTCTCTTCCTCTGCTTAGGAAGTAACAGTTCAATTATGGTCACTCTCTGTTAACTTCCGTTAGTCTCTGTTAACGTCGTCAGTTTTTTGTTTACGTGGCTAACAGAAACACCCAATCAGCTTATTTTATCCCAAAAAAATTCAAAATCGAACAGCCACATCATTAAACCCGCCACGTCAAAAACTCCAACCCAACTCGTGACCTAAACTGAGACCCAAATAATTCGTGACTCGAACCACTCAAATTACAAAATAAAATAAATCTAAAAACACTAAATCCAGTGACCAAATCCCAGCCACCGGTAAAACTTCTAGCCTCCGCAAAATTCTCAGATCGCCGATCGTTGGAGAAGAGTACCGGAAGCAGATGTCCGCCGCCCTCTCTACTTCAGCCGGCCACCATGTCGTTCCCATCAAAGAAGAAGATCGGAGGAAATACCCAAACAAATCATCTCAATCCCAATCAATTTCATCATCAATGCCTCTCCCCTAATCTCGTTCCCTACTTTTCACTTAGTCTCGCCGTGAATAAAAGAAAAAAACCCAACTCAAAATCAAATTTTCCATTCCCCATTAACTCAGCTCTTGAATCTGCCAAAATCACCAAAATCACCCAGATCCCTAGCCGCCCTCGAGCATCGATCAAGTCGACCAAATCCCCAGTTACAGACACCATGGAAGGCCCTTTGAAATCGACAAATCGTAGACGTAGGTCAAAGCCGAAACGCAGGTGGTGCAAGGGGAATGGTTCTCCAGCAACTGATTGCAAGTGGAGATAATTTTTGGAGAGTTCGAAGGCCAAAATCTGTGATTAGGGAGTGGAGAGAAGGAAAAATAATATTTTTTTCGCAAATAAAAAAATTGTAAATATGTGTCTAGGGTCGGGTCATGTGGGTTGGGTGTGTTGACGTGGCGGGTCAATTTTGAAATTTTTCGGGTTAAAGTAAGCTGATTGTGCGTATCTGTTAGCCACATCAGCAAAAAACTAACACCCTTAACGGAGACTAACGGAAGCTAACGGAGAGTGACCATAATTGAACTGTTGAACTAATTTGAGTGACCACGAACGGAATTAAATATTTGTAGTGACCAAACATGAACCTTTTTAGAAATCTGAGTGACCAACCTTGCAATTTGCCCCATTTCCAACCGACCTAGAAATCATTCCATACAATGACAAGAGAGACAATGAAGTGAAAGATAAAGTCAAGAGATACACTATAGGAGTCGACCAATCTTGGCTCTTCCATACTCGTCTTGACCTAATGATATATTTAAATTTTCAAACATGACATAGCAAATCACAACAATAGAGGTTACCATGTCGCGAAGATATTGCTCAATAAACAATATAATTTATAATTGTAACTTCATCATCCATTGTGTTTTATGATTTAACGAAATTACTTTACAAACAAGAAACAGAATTCTACCCGAAACAAATAAGAAACAATCTACTAAACGATCAATCATAGTGCTTATAATAAAAATTCCCAAGTTTTTTTTCCACCTTTTGTGTTCTTCACTTCTTCTCGTGTGTTGTAAGTTGATCTCCGACTTCCTCCTCTAATCTCTCTCATTCTCTTCCCTATTATTTCTCTGAATGAAACCAAACAATGATAGAGGTTTCGCCTTGTTCATTCTTTTGGTTTGATGATTTACTGCATGTTTGATTGTTAACTTGACTAGCAAGTAGAAAATTATCATTTCCTCTCATTGTCCTGTCTTTTCCCCTGACAGACGTGGCCTAGACTCCCTTCCTCCCACCATCATTACACTTGTGGACAACTTCATACACTTTCTTGCCAATGTTTACGAGTCCTGTGGTGTGTGTCGTGTTAGAGTATTTCATTGTTGGTTATTGTACCCAAAACTAGTGGCAGTGGCAAAAGTGCAATTTTCCCTCAACGACGAGGGCAAAGGCTTACGAGGTCGACTTTATAAACAATTTAGCTCTTACCCGAAACAAATACATCTAAGTCGACCCTCCGACTTCCTCCTCACATCTACGTTATTCTCTCCCCCCGTTCTTCGTGTGACTGAAACCCATAAGCGAAAATAAGAAAGAAGTAGACCCTAAGTAGGTGGAGATTGCCGCCGGAGGATAATCACTATCCTTTCGTTGCCCTGATCCATTATGACTTCCTGCCAGATTATTCTTCTTCTTTCGATAGTGGGTCCACCACAAACGGAGGGTAATAGCCTTAAACCCAAACCTAATCATTAAAGTTAAAAAACTTCGAGTGGAGAGAAAGAAAAAAAAATTGAAGTGAAAATTTTTCTAGAGATATCCATTTTCCGGGAGCGACACATAAGATATCGCGGCACAGATGTTGGACCAAACGTCGTTTAACAGTCTCCTCTCTTTATTGTCTTGTTTGTTCTGGATTGGGCTGCGCTAGAGGCACAGTAGGAAGGAACAATTTGTAGGATGTCTAAATATAGAACAACACTTCACCAAATGTAGTTAACGTTTCCATAACAAATGTTATAGAACTATATTTCATTTGTGGAAAATAATGTGCTAAATTCACACCTACATGTTGTTGATCTTCCCTAATGCAAGTACAGCAGGTTGCTTTTAACTCTCCAAGTCCTAAGGCGGTACTTGGCACAACCCAGGACGGTATGAGGCGACACGACCTGGTTAATGAAGGGGTTTTGGGTTTGGTCCACAAGATTGAACTCATTATGTAAGCTATGATCCTCAATGTTAACAATCGATATTCGCCACAAAAATTATTGTGGAACTAGTAGCTCGTGTCGTGGGTGTCCAGTTCTCCTTATATAAGCTGCGAATTTTCTATTTCTTAATAGTGGTGCTCCTGTAAACCAATAATTAAAGCAACCACGCCACAATTTTCTTACCCAATGCAAAGGTCTGCCCAAATTATTAGGTTTTGAATCCATAAGATAGGTATAAAGCGAGGGGCCAAATTATCATAAGACGTGCTCTATATCCGGCCTATTTGCCGTCAATGCCTGATTTGGCAATTATAGTTATCTATAAAATAAAAATATTAATTGTCTTTCTAATAAACGTGTCATCCACATCAGCTATGTAACCCTCATCCGTGAGTTTTGCTCAAATCCCTTAATTCAGGGTTTATTTTTGAACAAGCGAGCTTTACACGACTGTCATTGTGCGTAAAATTAATTTTCAAGCTAAATGAATATATTTGTTGGCCTTTTCTGTTACGCTAAATTTTATGCTAAGGGAAATAACTTCAAAGCCTCTCCTACAATGACGCATACAGTTGTCTGAAAATTACCCCATTTAACTATTCCCATGTGAGACACCCTATTTTCTTAAATAGATTCATGTTAAGGGTTTGGCATTAATAGGAAGAAGGGATTGCTTATTTACCAATGAGCATCCACAATGGGTTTCATTTCTTTATTTCATTATGACATGGCAAATTCCAGTTCCAATTTCATTGTAGTGGCTCCTATTCCATTTGTGAAATACTTCATTAAGTTACATAAAATTAATTATATTAGTCATAACGCCTTCACTTGACTTTAATAAAGCATTGGCCTTACAAGGCTAGGATGTCAATACTAAAAATAAGGTAGAGGTTGTTGGTTATATGATGTGGAACGCAAACATAAAGTTGCATGTACTAAAAAGACCTCCCTTGTATACCTTTTCAAGGATTGACATCGGAAATTAGCTTCACGTAGCGTGAAATTAAAATGCCCCCTTGTACAAGTAAATAAATTTAAACGAATTCATCGCCGATGAAAAACAATCCAAGCATTTGTCCATCTTCCGACATCTCATTTAATTACAAAATAATCAGAATTCATCACTAATTAATACGTTTACAAAAACGAAAGCTAATCAACGTATATTAAGTTTCCAACACCAACTGAAATGATCCAGAATCAGTTTTAATAACAAATATGACTTACACCTATTCCTTGGCCCATTAAGCCCATAAAAGAATCACAAATTGGATTGCAAATTATTGCATTACACTAAGCCCAATCGTTTGGTTGATTCACAAATACGATTTATGATGACTATCTACAGTTCGAATGAAATTTTGTCTTCGTCGTCTTCTTCCTTCGACAAAAACAAACCCTAAATATCACTTATCAGCAAGCCATAGATTGACCTTCAACTAGAAGCTTCATGTGAATACTAAATAAATTAAAGGACAAGACAACAGACTACCCCCTACAATTCCATTGAAATTCCCTCTTCTTCATCTTCTTCATTCCCTCTTCTTCATCTTCTTCCTCCGGTCGAAACGATCCCAGAATGGAATACACCTACCTGTGCAACAAGAACGAAAAACTAAATAGATAAAGAGGCAATACAATAGACTTGTGGCTTGCTTTTATGAACATGTGGTTTTCTCTACGTTACTTGTGCCATACAATAATAAATTTCTGTTGTACAATATTGTCATGTGGTGTGCTTTATAGCATTAGCAGCAGGCGCAACAGTACTTTGGGTAGTGTTCCTTTCCTACTTGCACTGCTGTTGAAGTAGAGTCATTATTTATGGTGGTGCTGATAATGGCGAGGGACCTCGTCGCCGTCGATACGCTCCCAAGCCGTCGGGTCCATTGTCGATCATAGGCCACCTCCATCTGCTGATCATGGGCAGCAAACCGGCAGTTGCACCTACGTTGGCGACCATGGCAGACAAATACGAGCCCGTCTTTACGGTATAGCTGGGGATGCAGCGGGAACTTGTGGTGAGCGATCCAAAGGTGGTGAAGGAATGCTTCACCACCCATGATAGGGCTCTCTCGTCCCGAACAAGAACAAGCCCTGCCAAGTTCCACCTCTTCGACTACATCAGGTTCGGGGTTTCACGGTACGGCGCCTACTGGCGAAGCACTCGAAATCTCGTGGTGACTCATCTCGTCTCCTCTGACGGCCTCAGAGCCACAGAGAGTATCCGGCAGTCGGAAGTTGATTCCTTGGTGAGCCACCTCCGTTCGCTCATCCACAAAAGCAACGACGACGACGAAGCCACGGTTGTGGCCATGAATGTCGTATTTGAAAGTCTTACGCTGAACGTAACAACGAGAATAGTGTCAGGCAAGAAATTGCATGTGTTCCACTACAACAGTATCAATGAGGCAGAGGTGGAGACGAAACGGATCGGACGGCTGATCAAAGAGTTCATGAAGTTGGCCGGCTTTTTTGTGATCTCGGACGTCATCCCACTCCTGGGCTGGACCTGCGGGTTCGCATGGAGCGTGAAGGCTATGCGACGTGTGGCCGCCGATTTCGAACCCATCTTGTTAAATT